AAATTTGTACATTTATGGACAAATCCTTGACCCAATGAAGACAACGAACAGCCAATCCAACCAAATGAGACTAATTTCTGGACAATGTTTTAAAAAATGTTCAACAGGTTTCTGCCTTGGAAAAATACATTGCAGGCATATTCAAAGTTTCCTTAGACCCGCTCATATCTGCATCATGTCATTATTAGTCCTATTGAACACCACTGTCTAAATGGATGACTTGGTGTTAGAGGTGATACTTAAATTTGAAAGGGATATTTATACAAGAAACCCCATTCAACAATTATGTCCCCAAACCCCTATTTCAAACTAGAGAACCAAGAGAAATCAACTCTAAAATGAAATATATTCATCATAATATGTACTATTCTAGCAAATACGGCTCCTCTAAAGTGCAGATAGAGTAACAACGGTTAAGATAGTGATAATAATAAATTAAATGCATAGCAACTTCTCATTGTGATTATGCAAACAAAGTCTTGTGAGAAGGATTACAATTTGACAAAACATAACAACTACAGCAAGAGAAAATTGCAAGTTGAATTTTAGATGACAAGTAAATGGACGAGTTTTAACATGGGTTTGTCGAATTTGCATTGTAATGGAAGGAAGTGAAGGTTTGAAGACAACCCTCATTGGAAAAAATCATGACTAGTGACACAAGCATAAAGCAGCTTATTGCACAACATAACACATTGCAACTATGTATATAAAGAAAAGGAGTATGAAGTAGTAAATGATGCATAGTAATGAAGGGTAGGTTGCTAACCGCTGACGAAAAGTTTAGGGGAAGTGAGAGTTGAGCTGAGACGAAAGGAAGCATAGTGGGAATGAAGAAGAGGTGAGTGCCGAAGCAGACGCTGAACTCCAGACAGAAAAGCCATCGGATGAAATACAGCAGACCTCGAAGTTCAGAGGTTATGGAAAACCCTCGTTGCACTCCCAATACGATTCTTAAATCCCTAAAAAGACTTGCCTCACTCTTCTACTTCTTGACCTAAAAAACTCCACAACCTTAGACTTTATATACAACGATTTAGTTAAGACTCCAAACATAAGTTGTGTCTGCTTAAACTCTTTTTTTGTTAAAAAAAAAGTTTTCCTTAATAAAATAATCAGTTTTTATTATGTGTTTATTTAAACTGCTTTTAAATAAGTTTTTTTTTAAAGCAACTCTTATGTAATTTTTTTTAAAAAAATTAAAATATTTTTTTACAAATATTTTTTAAAGTTTAAACAGAGAGATACACAATACATAGAGTATATATATTTTTTTATTTATATGACTAAAATTTATAATAATGAATTTTTAATTATATATTGCGTTATAATTAAAATTGGAAATAAATTAATAATTTTAAATATTTAAATTATATTTTATATTTGTAATAAATAATTCGTACTATGATACTAAATTTATTTTAAATTATTATAATTTTTTTAAGTATTGAAATAAATATTAAAAAAGGAATTAAAATAGAAAAGAGATTAAATAAAAATGAAAATAATATATTTAAAGATATAAAAATTATAAATATCAAAGTAAATATAACTTAATGCAAATGGATGGTATATTATAGTCATAAAATGATACTCAAATAATAATGAATTTGAAAAATGTGAGAAGAACCAAACATTTCAATAGTTATTTTTTAAAATAGCATTTTAAAAATATGGTAATATTTGTTTTATGCTTATGGTCTTACAAATTTGGAGTTAAAATGTGTCTGGTAAAAAGTGTTAAAGACAATGATATTTATAAATTATATTTGTTCTGACTCACAAGTGACATAAGATTTTTTTGGGTATATTGTGTGATTAAGAAATAAGGAGAAAATAGAAGAGAATGGTTGTGAATGGGCGCAGTTGGTGGAGTGGCGCCGTGGTTACCCTAGAAGACGATGGGAACACAAGTGACTAGAGTTTCTTTTGACTGTCTATTCTAAATTCTAAATCTATGGGCCTTTTTTATTGGGTTGGCCCGACTTCACTCCGCTCTTATTTTCTGCAATGTTCGTGTCCTTCGATCCATAAAAAAAAAAAAAAAACACTGAACGTTGATGTGAATTCTCTTTTTAATTTTGGAGTGTTGTATATTTGAGAATTGAGATATATGTATACTGAAATATAATTAAGTCAAATAACAATTTTATTTTTAAGATTATTTTTTAGTTTCAATACTCGTTAATATTTTATCATTTGTTTTCTTATAATAGTTACGATTATTAATATTGATAAAAGGTCTATAATCCCTTAAAAAAAAACTCATAATTCCCTAATAAAAGATTCATAATAATAATTCTACTGATTTAAATAATTGAGAATAAAAGAGAGAAAAAATTATAGATCCAACTCAAATTAATTAAATAATTATTTAGATTTTGAAAAAATAAATAAATAAAAATATTGGGTCCATGACCCAATCCAATTAAACTGATCCGTTTGATCCAAAATTTAACCAGTCAAAATGAAGGTTCATGATATATACACTTCCTTTTTTTTTATAAGTACACCTCCTTTAAAAAAAATAATAATTAAAATTTTAAAATATTCTTAATTATTTTATTTTTAATTTTTAATTTTATAATTTTATATTCGCAACATTTAATTTAGTAAAAAAAATTTCATACATCTTCCCTCCTTTTTTTCAATTTTTACATACACTCCCTTACCTTTCCTTCACCCTACCTATTTTAATAGTATGTGAAAATTAAAAAAAAAATGTGTGAAAAAATAAAATAGTAGCAAATTGAAAGTTAAAGGTGTAAAATTATAAAATTTATATAAAAAAAAACTACAATATTTAAAAAAAAAGTATAAAGGAGGTACAGACTGGACCAAATATTTTCAATCCAAACCTGTTCAAATCCTTCCCGAGCTCTAGCCTAATATATAAGACAAAGACGAATATAATATATCAATAATAAGATACAAAATTTTATACACATCTAATGTTGAGAGGGAGGGTAGATATAGTTTCAAAACTTGAATACAAAGACAAGATATTGAATTTCGTATATGTCCTACCCCGATGTCATCCATAGTTATATCTTAAGGTTATATCATTCTCATAATTAAAAGGACAAGGGTGCTGAGTGGAAATCATGAAATTTTTGGAAAGGCAGAGCAAAACAGAGTGATTTTTATGAGATGCAACCAACATTTCTATTTGCTTTAAAGGATGACAATGACGCAGGATAAGTACACTGAAATTGCCTTAACTCCTTGTTTGTTTCCATTTTGTGGAAACATATATCATATATCTCACACTCACGAAATTAACACTTAGCAGGGTTACTGTATCTGAGTGTAATAAATATGTCAACTTTTTGCCTAATATTCAGATAACTGCACACTCTAATTGTATAGCTTTGGGTCCCATTTTCTCCCTTGTTTCATAATATAATAGTGTAAGAAGAGGTACTACGTTACTTTAATATTAACTCTAAATGAGTTATTCTTTATTTTTTTAATTAAACAGTTTTAGTGAATGATTTATTTTTAAGTGTCAATATAATTTTTATATATTCAACTAATTAAAAATTATATAAACATATATTTTAAAAATAATTATTATGTAAATAAATAGACTTGTCATACATAACAATTTGAAATCAGACATGATATCTTTTACGGGTATAAATTATATATAGTATAATATTTCAGCGCATAACACTTTTTTTTATCTTTTTGCACGGGTGTCTAAATGTTTGTGATTATCATTGCTTTCATGATAATATATGATACAACTACTATTTCCTATAGTAATGATTTAGTGGCGGGTGCAGACATGTTTTGGAATGACGTGAAGTTCCAGCGACATGAATTTCCATTTCATGCTTGAATTGAATGGATTAAAAAATTGAAGGCACAAATAACTAAAGCACTGTGAATTTGGGTAATTCTCTGTTGGGCATGGCCTACAGGTTCTGTATTTACCAACAAGCACTCGACAGAAATCCTTTTTAGAACATTGAAAACTTGGTCAGATGAAACAGCATAACAATCGGTGGTGGATTCAAGACGCATGGGACAATTTTAAAAAAATAAAAATTAATAAATTATCATTATATATAAAAATATACATATAAGTATCAAAAATAATTATTGGTATGTTTAATATATAAATTAGAGAGTTTAAAATATAATATTTTAAATATATGTTTATTAATAATTTATTTAAAATGAGAGAAAACATAAATTCATCTTCATTGTAGCGTAAGTACGTCATTTATAACAATTAAGTACTTGTAGCAGTTTCATGTGCCAAGTTCATTTATGTCACAATTTGTAATTTATAGAGAAAAAAAATAATGGTATAAATGAAAGAGTAAGATACCAATTGACTAGATTTTGAGCACCCAAAAGACAAATTAGACAGTTTTAGTGTTGTTAAATGTTTGTTGATGCCATTTTAATTTGGTCAAATTCAATATTATAGCCATTAAAATTCACAATGTTGCTTTCTTTGTGAAGCTAAAAAAGTGAGATAATTTTTTTTATTAAGATGATAATACGAAATGTTTATTAATTTTATGGATAATTCTTTCACCGGAAAATCTAATAAATTGTTGTTAGTGTGATTATTTTTGTGAATGTTACTTTTTTCATTTATAAAAGTCGAATTCAAGACTTTGATTTAGAAGATATACTTCAATTTCATTTGAATCAACAATTTGTTAATAAACATGTCGATTTCTAAGTTATTTCCTTAATTATTAATTTCTTTCCTATTTAGTTTCTAACATAATAAAATTATATAAATAATTTCTCAAGTATTAAATATTTATCAATTTAATTCTTTAATCGATATATTTCATTAACATTAAGAGACTAATATGATAATTTTTGTTAATACTAAAATCAACTATTTATTGTGATTTCTAATATTGTTTGAGTGATTATTGATATACTTTATTTTATTTTATTTTAAGGACCATCCAATAAAGAGGGTAATAGTTTACGGATAAATTAGGGTTTATTTCTCTAACATCTCTTCAAAGCTAAAGCTACTAGTACTAGCTAACATTTGTATTTACACTAACTAAATTACTACCCAATTCACGAGTTCGAACCTTGAAGTTGTGACATAAAAAAAAGTACAACAATACCAATAGTCTACTTTCTTTTCTAATTAGATTACATTTTTTTTGTTCATGCAATACCAGATCCAATTACTGAAGCAGGTTCTGGCCAAAATTGTGCATTCTTCACCTTTGATATGCTTGCCAATACGCTCAAAGGAGTCACGTCACCAACTACTGTAACCTTCTTTGCCACAAAGTCTATGTTGAAGGACTTAACTCCTGTCCACATAATTAACAACACGTGAAATGGAAAGAATGTTAAATGAAAAACAAGAAAAGTAAAATAGAGTCCATAAAAATATTATCATCTCAACAGAAACTAAGTGCTTTTAATAATAAATTCGATTTTCAATAACAGGTGAATTTGTTAGTTTTTATTACAATTATACCTTCAAGCCTTAAAACTTTATCTAGACTTGTACAAATAAGGGCTAAGCATCTTAATAGTTGCATGTGTGCCCTTGTGTTAAGGTTCGAAATAAACGATTTTAGGAGAGAGTGAGTTGCTTACCTCGCATTCTAGAGAGATGTTTCCTGACCTTCCCTTCACAACCTTTGCAGTGCAGAGAAACCCTCAATACTACAATCTGTAAGAAAATTAATTCAAATCACATCCCATTTGAGTACATAATATGCAAAGATTATTGAAATTGTTCCTTGTTTCATCGTCAATGATACAACTGCTAGTATTACTTAATCATTCCACAAAGACATGCTAGTAATACTCATACCATCAATGAAAAAACTTGCTTATATACATCTAATATATAAGAGTGGTTCAGAGGCTTTGACAAGAAACAAATATACATGATTCTGATTCAAATCGAAGAATCCTAAATAAGTGTTGTAGCACCATTATTTATGATGTATGTGTGTGACATAAGAGCCATAAGGAGAAAAGAAGTACACAAATTGTATAGTTTCGCAGTTTCAACAATTAAACTTGGAATTCCACGTCAACAATTCGCATAATAAAGACTTGTATTAAAAGATTGTGCAAATTATTAAAGTGAAACACCTAACAAAATATATATAAGTTGTGTAAAAGAATCAAACTGTGTGTTTGATTTCGAGTTGGAAACCACAAAATCATGTCCAAAGATAAAGATGGAAAAAATTACTTCTTTAGTGCTTTGTAATGTATGTTTTTCTTTGTTTAAAGAAACTCTGATAAAACAAGCATGTTTTTAGTTATAAATAAACTTTAATTTTAATTGGAAAACACTTGAAACAACACGTGAGAAATTGTATATAAGTTCTGTTTAAAAAAAAAAAAAAAAACAACCTGGTCGGAAGAACCAGTTTTTGGAAGAGAGGAGCTAGAACGTTTAGATGAATGATTGTTTTCATCTTGATGAAGGACTTGAGCTTTGTCCTTATCAACCTTGGCTAAAGCCATCACAGGATCACAACCTGATGCAGCATCAAAGGAAGGCGTGTCACCGAGCAAATATCTTGTTGAACCAGGAGGAGTGATTAAATCAGAAGGTGGCCTAACCCAACTCCTCCGCAGAACACTGTCAATTGGTTTTGAAGAGTAATTGTTGGTTATCTGTTCAGTCAACTTTCCCTTAGCACTTTTCTTCTTCTGATCATGACCCTTTGTTGCATTTTTCTTCTTCTGGCCACTTGGCTTGGGAGTGGAGTTTTTCTTGGCCTTTGGAAGAAGATCATGCAAAGGCTTGGGGTCAATGGGAGGGTGAGAAGAAGAGCTAGGGTCAATGAAATCTCTTGAGGGGGTTCTTCTAGGATCTGTGATGATGGGGTTGTGGCGGTCAATAGCTCTTCCACCAAATTGAGTGGTGTTGGAAGAAGTACAAGAAGAGGAAGAGGGTTGATCCATGCTAAGACATATGGCTGTTGATGCCTGTGATGCACACAAGATGTCTATGCCTTTCATCTCTTGATGATGATGGTGAGAAGAGGTAGTGGTTTAGAGAATCTCAAGTGTAACAGAGGAGGAGGTTGAACCAGGAGGAGAGTTGGTAATTACTGCTTTTAAGCTCCAATTGGGAGAGTGAGGTTGTGGGGTTGAGAAATAGGATGGAAAATAGAAAATTCAAATTTCAATCAGTTTCTTGTTTAATACGTGGAAACAAGAGTAATTTTTAATTGACGTCCCTGAGCAAATTTTTATCCAAGTTTTTTCTGCACCTTTTGGATTTATCCTTTTCAGTGTACTGATATTGTTGCTCCTAGCCTCGTGACTCGTGAGTAGTTGGCACACTAATATACTCATACGCACTCTACATGATAATTATTTTCTTTTTTCTTTTCTTTTTCATAATTTTTTTTAGGGAGATTTCATGTCTTTTAAAAATGTAGATAAACTATTTGAAGCTTGGGGGAAATTCATTTGTTCCTTTTAGAATAAATGGATTAACTGATGCCATTTTGTGCTCCTAATTTTCTTTGATTTGGAGTTCAAATGGATTTGCTTTAATGCAAATGGTTTGGTTCGGACTGATCGGACTTGGAGCTAGTAATATAACTTGAGTTGGTTGTTGTCTTGTTGATCAGAAATATTATGGAAATGATGTGATTCAGTATGACTTGGTCAGTTTTCTGGTTTCACAGTGAATTAGTGACACGATGTTTTTATTTTTGAAGCACCAAGTGTGGCAGTTAGTGACATAATATGCAAACTGGTGCAGCAACCCAAATTGCGTTTTCAATTTCATAAACTTAAATCTTAGGAAAGTGGAAGGAAGCTAGAAAAGCATAAAATCGGTGGCACATGAACACAATAAAGGCCTTGTAGAGGAAAATCAAAAACACAACATTGTAAGATTCTAATGGAACAAATTCTGCCAGTAAGTAAGCCATTTCGAATTTTGCTTTCTTGTTGATGGATGAGACGCAAAGTCACTTTCTCTCTCTCTTTCATCAACACAAAAAATAAAAAAGGAAATTCCCTTGGCAATTCCATGGAATCAGATGCTTCCATGGCTTTCTTCCTCCTCAACTTTTCATTGCCTGCCTCACCCATTTTTGAACGATGGCCAATCTTCTACACCCACTATTCAAAATTCTCTCTTTCTTTTTCCCCTTTATTCCATTTTTTTCATCAATTCCAGTCCCGAAAGCATTTTAGAGATAGGCAAAAGCTTTTGTTTTCTGTTACACGATCCACCAATATGTGAGGTAAGTGGAGTCAATTCGAATTTTGTGTTTGTCAAATTAAACCTCGTACTTATATAAATAAATAAAAACTAGTATCAACAAATATTTAAAAATGTAAGCGCTCATTCATCGAAAAAAGATTAAGAAAAATTTTAACTTAAATATATTTAAACTATATCGAATTAGCTCAATTTTCAGATTACTACTTTTTAAATTTTCTTTTTGTTAAAATTATCTGACAAATTTTTTTTTTCAATTTAGTACCTGATATTAGTTTTCTCTGTTAAATGATGACGTGACAAATGGACTGTCATGTCATCACTCAACAGTGTCTGCAATGTCCTCCAAGGGACTGCCACGTGGACATGGTGATGATGTGGCAAACACTGTTAGGTGATGACGTGACAGTTCGTCTGCCACGTCATCACTTGACAGAGGGAGACCAACGTCAGGTACTAAATTGAAGAGAAAAAAATTAGTCAGATATTTAAAACAAAAAATAATAAATTAATAGGTAGTAATATGAAAACTGACCTAATTAGAGGTAGTAATTTGAAAACCGACCTAATTGGAGGTAGTAATCTGAAAACCGACCTAATTGGAGGTAGTAATCTGAAAACCGACCTAATTGAAGGTAGTTTGAACATATTTAAGCCGCACTTAAAATTTTATTTGAAAGTATCTTAATTCATGGCATAATATAAAACATTTGTTGCTTTTGTTTCTAGTTACAGGTGTTTTATATCTTCTTCGTCTTATTAATCTTCACTTTTCTCCACTTCTTCATTGTCCACTATCTTTGTTGGAATTTTTTGTCCATTTTTTATGACAAACCAAAGTTTGAAGTATATGATGGTCTCAAAATAGGTTATCTTTCAGTGACAATTTTCAGATTACTACCTTCAATTAGGTCAGTTTTCAGATTACTACCTCTAATTAGGTCAGTTTTCAGATTACTACCTATTAATTTATTATTTTTTGTTTTAAATACCTGACTATTTTTTTTCTTCTTCAATTTAGTATCTGACGTTGGTCCCCTCTGTCAAGTGATGACATGGCAGACAGACTACCACGTCACCACTCAACAATGTTTGCCACGTCATCACCATGTCCATGTGGCAGTCCCTTGGATGACATGACAGACATTGTTGGGTGATGACGTGACAGTCTATTTGTCACGTCATCATTTAACAGAGGAAACTAACGTCAGATACTAAATTAAAAAAAAATTGTCAAATAATTTTAAAAAAAAATTTAAATAGTAATCTGAAAAATCAAGCTAATTGGAGGTAGTTTAAACATATTTAACCCAAAAAAATTTACTAACTAGAATTTAGGAAAATCAACCCTTTAAGGAATGTGTTGATTTAGAATAAGATTTTTTTTTTCTTTTAACAAAAAAAAAAATAGATTAAGACATGACACAATGTAAAGCAAAAATTAATTATCATTTTTTATTTTTTATTTTAGTGAAATTACAAATTATCTGTGTCATTTCTGGTATAGGCATGCATGAAAAAACATAAAATACAAAAAAAAAAAAGTCAAATCCGATCACAGTTCTTAATCAATATATAAGTTTTATTCTTAGAAAGGTCTTACATTGTTTTTTGGTCAGCTATCCCAAAATGCTCGTCGAGCTCAAAGATTGCAAAATAGTAACAGGCCACATAGTCGTAAGCCCAAATTGTGTAGGCCTCTATTTCATTTGTTTGCTTTTAGAAAGATTGAATTTTATAATATCATTAAATGTATGATAAAAGAACTATTTCTCAAAATATTTACTTTTAAATTAATTCTTTTAAAAGGAACATTGAACTACATATTAAATCAAAATATATATATATATATATATATATATATATCATAAAATTAAATACGAAACATGAGCCAAACAAAAACAAGATCATCCTAAGCAGAGTGATTTTCTTCATGCTCAAAATAAAAATCAACTTAAGCTCCCATGTAGTAATTATAACTTTAATCTAGAAAACGAATTAAGGGATTCGTGTGACTGAAATTAATATCTATTAAATAAACTAATTTTAATGTATTATATGTGTGAAATTTATATTATTACCAAATAATACACTGTCACGATATATAATACATATAATTTCATTTAATAATAAAACAATATTATAATTTTTATTCGTTAACAATGCATTAATATTAAATTCATGATAAAAACTAATGTATAAGAATATTTCCTTAATTAGCTCGTTGGTCGGAGGCATCAAATATTTTTTTAATTAGTTCTAAGAAATGGCAATATATTTATCAAAATAATCTAATTTTCAAATCTATTTACTAAAAATAATTCAATTCGTATTTGATTATCACTGAATGAGTGCAACCATTTATTGGACCAGTGATAATCATTTTATTATAAATAGGATTAATTTTCTATCGAATAAATTGGGAGATATTTGTGATTGGACAATAAATAAATTACTAGTTTTAACTTTTGATGTATGTGGTATTGCACTGTTGTGTCATCTCAACTAGAGCGTTCTATGTTAACTTTTTTTATTTATAATAATTATGTTATTAGTGTGAGGTATTTATTAATTTTGATAATAATGAATTTTTGTAAATAAATTTAACTAATTAGTTTTAATAAAAAATAAAAAAAAATTCTCTCATCCTTAGAATTGATATATTACTTAAAAGATCTAAACTCAGTTTCACTTTAACCAACTATTCTTTGAAGATTTAAACTTGATACCATGTTTTTAGGGGGATTACAATAAATAATATGAAATGAATTGTTTAAAAAACACATATCATTATTTATATATATATATATATATATTACATTTACTCGAATACTTAATTCAAAAATTAATGATATTTACAAAAAAAAATCCTTTTAATATTTTATATATATATATATATATATATATAAAAGACAATTCTTAAAAATCTAAAAACCTAATAAATGATCAATAAAAATGAGAATTATACGTGGCGATCCTATAGTAAATTCCCTCCCTACTAACAAGTACTAACATTGGCCATAATTTTTGTCCTACACTAACTCTATCATCTATATTAAATGATTAAATGAACGAACGCAAAGTTGAAAAAGAGACGTACTATATTTACCATTATTTAACTCTAGCGTTGATTTACATGCATTAAACCACCCTAATTTAGTTTATCATAATCTAGTTTTAATTTAAAGAGTTTTAGGCGAACAAGTATGGCTTAAATCTCTAATGGATAATTTTTAAAGTAATATACACTTCTTTACGCACACATCTATATATATATATATATTAAAGAAAAAAAATGGTCTTATTTCAAAGTTAAGTTTAGATATCAATTATATACATATATATATGAAAAATATTAATATCTTACAAATGTTCATTAAAAATATTAACTTTAATTAATTATGCAAAATTATACATAACTTACAAATATTTATTTTACTCCTAAAAATAAAATATTTCTTTATCCTTTATTTTAAAAATAATTTATGTGTCAATTAGATTTTTTTTAATATTTTTTACTTAAAAGAAAAAAAGTTGAATAAAAATTTAAACTAATATTTATTAGTCATTAAACTTTGATAACATTAAAAATACTCATTGATAACTAATTTTTGGTAAAAAAAACAATTTTTATTTTATTCATAAAAGTTTACCTTTATGATTTATATAATATTAAAAATAAAAATATTATTCAATTAATATCATGAATTATTACAAATGAAATTTTTTGTTTCTTATTTATTTATAAATACAAATGTCATAAAAGAAAACAACTTCACATTATAATTAACAGGGAGAATAACTATTATTTTCATTATACATATTAATTTACGAATAAAAAAAGAAAAAACGATACACGAACGTACGTGGGCGTGGCCATTAATTTTAAGAGAAATTTTACGGTACCCATATTATTTGGGAGAGTACCAGTACAGTTATAATTATTATTTTATTTTATATTTTATATTTTTTTTTATAATTTATTTAAA